GTGGACGGGAGTGCCTCGTCTTCAGCGCTGCCCATCGTCCGACTTGCCGTTCCTACTGGTACTGAACTGCAGCTGCTGTGATACATTCGAATTCAGCATAGGCAATGGACGAGAGTGCTTTGTTGTGTTTGCTTTTGGTTCTTGTTAGCTCGGGTCTTCGTTCTTTTGGTGTAGCCTTCACACGCACTCTTCGCGCCTGCTGGAGAATTCCTTGAATTTACTGATTTCCGAATTTGTAGCCATGTAGCATGTTGGAATTTGCAGTTGTGCGTGTGCAGCCGAGTAAAAGCATGTGCCGCCGCGAGCTTGCCAGCGCATAGGGGATGATGCGATGTTTGGAAGACGATGTAGGTGATACCTTTGACCCTCGGGACCAGCATTTTCTGCCCAACACTTGGTATCCACTGCCCGTCCTAGCACTGCTTCCTGTTCCTGTCTCTAGCCTGAGCCTTGGCTGCTTGGGGGCCGCTGGGCTCGATTACATGATCGACGAGGCGCGTACTTTGGGCAGGGTTTTCAGGGTTTTCTTTGGGTTCTTGGACGTGATGCTTGTGACGAGGGCCTTTTGGGGTACTTCTGGGTAGCCGCTTCTGCCACATAAAGATACTAGGACGCATGCTGCTTCAAGCATCCCCCTCCTGCCAGCTCTAACGCCGCATGCTTGCGCAGCTCCTTTGGCTGACGCGCCCAGTAAACTGAAGGCTACAGCTAGACTCCCGTGCTGAGGCGCCATGTCTGTTGCCTTGTACCAGGCTCAACACCGCTTTCCCGAGGGAGGCGAGGATGGGCCGGATCTCACCGGAGTATGGTGCATGCTCCTCACGGGTCTGATGGGAGCCTTGTTGGCTGGTCTCTTCTTCCTTGGCCACTACTGGGGGTGGGCCCTTTTCCCCTGCATGCGACGTGCGGGGGTCCAGCAACGTTTGGACGATTTGGTCCGGGCCGTGCAACAACTGCAAGCGCTGGTTCATGCTGAAGGCTATGCCACCCGCAGTGCTGGCGCGGACGCCCTTCAACGGGCCATGGGCCTGCTTGACGTGGACGATTCCCTGACTCGCATGCTCAATGATGGATTCGAGGACGGCCGCAATCGTCTGCAAGCCATCATGAACAAAGTCATGAAAGTTGGCGAGGTGGCCAACACAATCCATGCCATGCACGCGAATTTGGGGAATACCCTTGCAAGCCACCAGCTGGAGCTTCAGAGAACCATCCAGCGTGCCAAGGACGACCTCAAGCAAGCCTTTTCCTCTGCTGGGTCGAAACTGGCGGGCAGTGAACACAAAAGCATCACAGATGCTCTCAGTGCCATCTCGGCTGCCCTCGAGGAGGCCAAGCTCAACACCTCTACAGCTTTGGATGCGGTGGCCAAGAAGATGGTGAAGGACTATGCGGACCTTCAACGATTCCTCACTCCGCTACAACGAAACCAAGAGAGTTTCTCCACGGGCATGAACGGGAGGTTCGAGCAGCTCCAGAAAGACCTCTCAGGCATCTCCTACGCCTTGAGCAAGCAGATCAAGGAGCTCAGTGGACAAGTGCGATGGGCTCAGCAATCCCTGGATAGAATTCAGGGGGACAGCGAACACTTGCCAGATAAACTCAATTTTCTGAGGGGGCTTCTTGAGGCGGTCAAGGAACAGCTGGAAGTCCTTCAGAAGGAGATCGAAGCTATGAATGCGGAGCCAACGGCACGCTCTCCCACTGCAGACCCGGCCACAGCTTCAGGACCAGGACCCGCCGCCCCACCGCCTCCGGCTCCGGCGGCAGCGACTGCGGGTGGACCAGGGCCCACGATGCTGAACCTGGACGAGTCCCTCCCAATGGTGAGCCGCCAAGGGCAGGGATATTTGTGCCCGATCACGCTCCCGGATGGGAAGGTCATTTTCATCCCGAGGTCGGTTCTTGCACAGATGCTAGGAGCACATGTATTGTAAATGTCTCGCTGCTCTTGAGGGCCTGGAGATCCTTTCTATGTTGCACTGTTTTGCTACTTCTTTGTGGCCTCTATGTTCCTGTTTTCCATGTGTCGATGGCCCCTCAGCAGCACATCCGACGACTGTGATGATGCATGCTCGTACAGTAGGAGGCGAGAGCGATGTTTTTCATGCGCCTGGCCCCTGAATTTCATGCAAACTGCAAGTGTCGTGAAGACCCGAATTTGGTGCATCGAATTTTCAGCATGCCTGCATTGAATTCAAGAATATGAATTTAAGCCTGCGAATTTGGGAATGATCATAGGTCGTCTTTTGCAACAGTACCGAGCATCCACAGCCAAGCAGAAGAAATGCCGCTTCGAGTGTCTTCTTGGACGACCCCACACAAACCCACAACCACCCCTCTCCCTTTGCCCTCTCCCCCCATTCCCCCCCCCCCCCCCCCGCTCCCTTCCTCCCTAGGTCATGGAGTCTTGTTACACCATAGCCCCAGCGTCTTGTTGCAGCGTACATAGCCATACCCTCCCCTCTAGTGTCAATACATGCCTGCACTGTCATATGCCCTGCTGTTCCTTAGCTCCAAGCCAAGCGTCTTGTCGTTTCTGAGTGGCATTGTTGCCGAACCAGAAGCGAGCCCACTGCTACTCCCGTTGCCCTACAAACACACTGAAGCCTGACAGGATCTTCATGCTCCGCATCACCACCGCGATCGGGGGACGGGCACAAACAGGGCAGTGCTGCCGGGAACCACGCCAAAGCAGGGGTTTGGAGGGTCTTTCCGGCCCCGTCATTCCCGCGTTCTCGTTCGTGTTGTGGGTTCTCCTCCAACCCTCCCTATTCGGGGTCTAGGTAGCCCTAGCCCGCGGCGCTTCTGCCATGGCTCACAACTGCCAGTTTTCTGCTCGCACCTCTGGGTCCTGGCTGGCTTGTGATGGCAGACGATGCCACGCTCTAAATGCTGTTTCGGCCCCTGGCGCGACGACTAGACGACTGCTCTGACCACTGGGACTGCTTTGATGCCACTCATTATTGTGTGTCTCCTTGGATTCCCCACGGAGAGACCAATGATGGGCTGTTCTGGTTATGCTGCCCCTGATGTATGTCCCATAGCTGACACCGCGGACGCAAAACGTATTCTTGGGAGATGCCCGGCCGAGATGATGGAGTCTGTTATGCTGCACTGATGTATGTCTGGCAGCCGAATACATGCTCCACTGAACGCGAGTCTGGAAGCACAGAGCCTTCGTTGTGCATGCATGGAATTTGGGCTATGCTTTCTGCATACCACGGCTTACACCAAACTGACTGCAGCAATCTGGGTGATGCATTGAATTTGGATGCATACGATACAGCGTGAAGGGCCTCTGCCCTGTGGTGTCTACTGACTGGAGTGCCGATGCTGGGCCGTTTTTCCTTGCATCGCTGTCGAGCCTACAACCAGAGGAACGTACCAGTCTGGACGCTTAGACGTACAACGCGCATGAACGGAATTTGAGAATTTGAATGCATGTGCAACTGCATGAAGCTGTCGAGCCCTCATCAGCAAGTGGCAACGGTCTGGACATTTGGGCGTCCAACGAGCATGAATGGATTGGGAATTTGTGTGCATGTGTTGCTGCATGTATGGCATTTTGCCAGTGGGGCCAACTGGACTGAGGATGCCGTGATTTCTGTGTTGATGAGTTCACAGTTTGAGGATGATGCGAATAGCTGCAGGATGCAGGTTGAGGTTGATCGTAGCGCGGATAATGTTTGCTGTCGTCAATGTATGATGGCTTGGGCCACATGTGCCTGTCGTGGGACCAGGGAACCTCGCCAAGGCTTGTCCGAGTGTGAGTGCTGAAACCGCCTTCCATCCTTACGACTGTCCTTGATGTGTACATCGCGACGGTCTGTGTACAGCCGAGACCCTGTGAACCGTAAGAAGATACAGCACTTCTGTAAGCAGCTCACGTGCCCTGAACAAACCATTTGTTCATAGACAGGGAAGGGTGATGCTATACAACTTGTTCACAAAGCATAAACTCATACACTTCAGACGCAAAAAGACATTGTAATTACCAGTGTTTTCACAACATCGGCGAACGAAGTTGTGTTGTATGCGAGAAATACAGCAACTCGACGTGTTCTTCCAAGGAGGATAGACAAAGTGGTAAAGTTTGTGGAAATGGTGCCAGCGCGCGCTTGGTTTTTGGTGTGTGGTGCATGGTGAGTGGGATTGGGGTTGGGGGTGGGGACGGGACGCAGTAGAGAGAGGGGAGGGGGGGGGGGGGGGGGGGGGGGGGGGGGGGGGGGGTAGCAGGTCTCAACATGTCAGCCCCAAACCCTCAGCCCCCCCCCCCCCACCCCCTCTTTCATCTTAGTTTGTAAACGCCAGCCCTGGTTATAAACACAAGCCATGCTTATAAACACAGACACTGTTTATAAACACAGGCCCTGCTTATAAACAACAACATTATTGATAAGCGACATAAATGTCTACAAGTACGAACAATACAGTACATAACCCAGAACTGTTTATACAAGCATAGGATAGCAAGATGATGTGAAACAAATCGCTGCGAAACCGCGAAACGTGATGTGTCCCAAACGCAGGCCCCATGGTAGCCCTTTCTGTACCTTTTTCGATGTTGCTTGGAGCGGCGCTTCAGCAGAGTGGGTAATGAGGGTAATGTAGCTTCCGCAGATACCTGTTCCATGCTGCGTAGCCTCGAAAGAACTGCTTTGAGTTTCGTGAGATGTCGTCAGGTTGCAATGGATACCTGCGTGTACACCACAGAGAGCTATGGCCAGGGTCTCTATGATGGGCTGAGAGACTTTGCGCGGGCCAGTGGTCGACAGGAACGAGTTCAGGGTCAAAGCCTGCGCTACATGCCAGTGGAGTTGTTCAGCAGGGCTCAGGCTGTTGCAAGAACAGCTCGTCAGACGGGCTCTGGATTTATCATCTTGTTCCTGAGCTATAGGATGACTTCGAGTTTCTTTCAGGTTCTGGACGGCGAGGGGATGTTGGGTTCTGACTGATGCTTCGACGAGGGAGTTCGTAGACGGTGACCTGCCGGTTTGATGGTCTTTCGCGCCAGAGGCATGACCGCCAGCTTTCCGGATTTCCAGCGGATGTGGACCATGCTAGAAGCCCAGGACGTCATCGGAACCGAAGCTAGGCAGAGGTACAAGCTGGATCAGACGAGTGTTCCACTGCCAACTGGGACCATTGACAACCAACTCTTCCAGCACACTTCCATCCTCAAAGCATACTTTGCATTTGCTTTCGATGATTTCTATGCCTTTGTCCTTGCCATCTACAAGCTACTTCATGAGATGAGGGAACAGCCAGCCATCCGGGGGCGTGTGCTCTCAGAAGAAATGCTCCGAACGCGCTTCACCGGCGTGTCGGGCGAGGTGAGCTTTGAAGAAAACGGTGACCGATTGGGACCCTGTGAGCTGGTGAACTTTAAGCCCCAAGCTTCTGTGGCGGCCCTCTTCAGTGCTTCCACTTCGGGCTTTTCTTTTCAAGGCGACCTGATTTGGATGGATGGCTCAGAATGCCCGATGCCTCCAGCGCAGCTCTATGTCCGCTACCCGGGCTCAAACCTTGCCCAAAGGGCAGAATGTGCCCAGGAGGGACCAGTGCACCATCTCTGCAATGTAAGCTTTGCAAATGCCACGGGCATGAGAAATTGTAGTCCTTGTTCCAAAGGCAACTTTGCCCCAGATGTGGGATCGGTAGAATGCCTAGCTTGTTTGCCTGGCTATGAGGCGCCGAGTGAAGGCATGGAGGCTTGTAATCGCTGCGAGTCAGGACGCTACATGCCGATAGCGCAAGCCGAGAGATGTCTGCCCCGCGGTAGGAATCAGATCGCTCGAGAGAGTGGTTCCACAGCGCAGTCAGCTTGTGTTTGTGAGGAAGGCTGCTTCATGTGTGGTGACAGCGATTGCTGATCGTGCCCTGGGGGACTCTTTTGCCAAGAGGGCTTAGGCCCCCCACTGCAGCCTGGTGGTTATTGGGCAGAGCCGCGCTCCTCTGCATCCATTGACTTTGGGGAATGTCATTTCTCCGTGCTCCGCTGCAGAGACTCCGATGCACGATGAGGATGCTGAGGGAGCGACGTATTGTATCTTTCTAGCTACTTGTAGTCTCGTCTACGTGGCCTAAAATGGTGCCCCATTAACTCGTCGGCGCTTTTGTTTTGTATCATGTGGGAGCTTGTGGCACTGGGTGAAATCTCCGTGCTTCCGATTCCAGTTCCGCACGCCGTCACCGTGCATCGGCTTTAGGCCCACTGCACCGCTTCGTGCTGGACTAGCTCTGCGATGCAAAACGCACCTGCTTCCGGCATGTGCCTTTGGGGCTGTCATGAGGTCGCTCAGACACATACGTTGCCTTGAGCAGCCCGCATGTCTCAGCAAGGGCATTTAAACCCTAAATGCTAAGCCGCATAGCCGCATAGTCATGCATCTTTCTGAATTCAAGTTGGGATCTCCTTTGGCTACAGTGGTAAGCATGCCAAGGCCGCTCAGCCAAGATCCAGGCCTGTGAGCAACTTTCCCTTTGGCCCAAAGTTGGATGATGACTGTACGTAGCCCTTTTGGGGCGTAGGGACAGTGTTTTTGCGTTGTTGCGTTGACCATGTCCAATTCGTCGTTCTCAGTGGTTTATGCACACACGCCTGCAAAGGCATTCTCACTCAACATGAATGAAGTTCTCGCATGAGACATTTGCATGCTCTCTCAGAATAGCGATTCGTGTGCAGCACCTTGATTTGCGCCTTGACACGGGACCTCGTTGACTGCCTGCGGACCACAGCTCCAAGACGGCGCTGCAACTTGACAGTTGTCTTTCACTGAGCTTACAGCCTGACTGCACGCTGCCCGAACAGACCTTGCATGAGTAGACCACAAGCTCCTTCAGAGAACGCCTCCTGCTCATCTTGTGTGCCATCCTCCAACTTTGCTGTCGTGTGAAGGCGTCGGAGTTCCGAGCAGCAGCGCCAGATCCAAGGCTGGCCAAATCGCCGCAGAACTACACATTCCAGCCATTCAGACGGCTATCGGCATTTTAGCATGAGACCAGATACCTGAAGTGCGGAGCGGCAAGATTGCTTCCTTTCCATACCAAGTCACGACTGATTCCTTCTTGCGGGGAGATATACTAAACTAATGCCTCTGGTTTTCAAGAAATGATAAGGAGAACCCAATTTTCGAGACACAGCCTGCCTTGCGGATGATATCGTCTTGCGGGCTTCCGATCTAGTTCTAGTGCAACATGCAGATTCCATATCCTAAGCAGTTCGCAGAGGTACAGCACGAAGTGCTGTTCACCAACAACTGCTCCCAACTCAATGTCAAAGAGCACGCAGCCAAACTTTCTACGATCCAGCTTTCGCAGAGCGCACGCAAGAACTGAGGGGGGAGGGGCCAAGACGCTGAGCGCCAAGTCGTCGAGGTGCGACTGGCTACATCCTTAAAGAAGTCCTTGCATGTCTCCGCCGGTTTATCCCTACATCGAACTTTGCGTGTGCAGGCAGGGCCCTTCGAGTTTCCTCGGCTTGACAGAGAGTTCCGAAGTACCGCTGGCCTCGCAGCATTGGTAATTCATTTGATTGAATTGCTGAGGATCTTAGTTCCAGTTCTCATTTCTGACAAGGCTATGACTTGACTAGCTATACTGGGCTGTTGAAGAATGCCAGATTTGGTGAAGATGTGTCCCGATAAAATAGTGTATTGGCTTTGAAGTGCTTAAGTCTAAGTGATACATACAGGACTCAGGATGATACTCTTGGCTGCCTGGCCAGCTTGTGCAAAGCGGTTTCACACATCAGCCGATGCCCCCACACTTCTCGCTGGAACCAAAAGTCTACTTTAACTGAATCTGCCAACTACCTGCACTTGCAAAGAGTAAAAGAAATTGAACCATCCCGACGTGTCCCTTTCCATTTGCCGGGTGTACTCCAACATTGCGTTGGCCAGCGTGCGTGCTAGCGAGACACGACGTGGCACCAGCCTAACTCATCATGAGTCTGCCACTTTGTTGCGAGGGCTCGAAGAGGCTGCACCCACCGTGCATTAGCACCAACCGCACCACCCTTTCGCCAAGATGTCTGACTACGGAGCTGACAGCGTCTCGCTGACCATGACACGAACCAGCAGCGAATTCTCTGAAAGCTCGGAGGAGCTCCGAGGCAGGTGTGGCATGCCGGGAGGGAAAGCACATGGCCGCAGAGTGGTGCGTGAGCTTTTTCCTTATCAGGTCCACCGGGCTTGGAGGACTCCACCGGCGACACCATCCGCGAGCTTCTGGACCGGGCAGTCCATTCCCTCAGCGTCGCCACGAATCAAGCCGCCCGCCGACGGGTCCGCCAGCGGCTTCAGAGGCAGAGACTCAGTCGTGAGCACAACGAAAAAGTATATTATAGCTCTCATAGATGTAGCTGTCATCCCGTCGCAGGAGGCTCAGTGACTTCTTGACCAGGGACCAATATGAGAATGCAATGCAGCAGTTCAAGTTCCTGTGCGAGACGCGGCTGGGCTATGTGTGGCGAGTGGCCCAGCACAGCGATAAGCCTGATCCGGTACAGCCTGGTCCCGGTGTGTGTTACTTGAACTTCAACGAGCTGAGTGGGGAATGGGAGCACTCCTTCGTTTGATTGGCTTTGACTTCGGGCACAGCTGCCTCGTAAGAGGCACTTGTGGACATCCAGAGGAGGTGATCTTGCTTTTCGTTGTGGCACAACAGCCATACGATTTCAGAGCTTCCAGTTTTGTTTTGCAAGAAGTGCTACGAAGCACCTTGTCTGAAATTAGTCTGAACTCTCAGCATCGGTCGCGAACAGCCGCGGCAGACCTGCTGCAGCAGCAGACGCCAGCGCCCGACACATCTGTGGCGCACCTGTGCAGTTTTATTCGAGGGGTGACGTTTTGCCCGTTGACCGGCTGGCACTTTCGCCGAGACTGGATCTCGAGCCTGCCATGCAAGCCCCAGAAGGGGCCCCGAATTCAAGCCCAGCCAAGTCTGATCCCAAACAGCCCGCATGAGAAAGCGCGGGGCGCCTGTACAAAAGATGGAGCCATGCCAGCTATGCCCCCAACTTCAGCACGGCAAGCGCTGATGTAGAAGGGTTGGAGGGAAGATGGAAGCCATGCCTGACCCATCAATGGCGAACTCTCGAAGTGTATAGCATGTGGGATAGTCTGGAAGCTTCAGGGAGTCTAGGCTTTGGTTGAAGGTGCCTGTCATAAAGGGACGCTCTTCGGACGCGCTTTCGAACCCTTGCATCAGGGATTCTGGATAGAAGGGCAGTTTGCTGTCCTGCTAACGCACATTGGTTCGCTGCCGGTCCTATTGTCGTGCTCGCGGTTTTGGTTGCATTTCAGGCGTGACGCGGAATGTGGCTTTCGCTGCGAGGGCTCGAAGAGGCTTCACCCACCCTGCATTAGCACCAACCACACCTCCGCAGGCCAGGTCAAGGGAGCTGTCACGATGTCCGTCTGTGGCCTGGGTTTCGCAGTCCTTTCCGAGAGTTCGCAGGACTTTTTTGGGGCTGCTGTTTTGTCAGAGAGACTGTAGCTTGGTGCAGGACGGTGTGTTAGTGATTGCCAGCGATGGCCTCTGGGACGTGATGTACTGGACTCAGGTCACTGGTTTGAGTCACACAGAGTTTTCTTGTTGTTCGTGTTCGATGTCACCGTGGCTGTTGTAGCACGTCCATAGCTCGTCCTTTGCATTGTGGTCGTAGCAACGCTGTTAATGCCGTCAGGTTTGTGACAACTTCCCGTGCTCGCATGAGTTACTTTTTGCTCTGTGTCACTGCAGCTTCGAGGTTTTCTTGGTTGGATTTGCCAGCACCGCGGTGTGAATGTATCAGGAGTGGTCATGACGTTGATAATCAGAACGGTCAGGATGACGACGACGATTCTGTTGTTTCACGGCCGGTGCTGATGGTGATGGTCGTGATGACGGTGACGTTGCCGTCGTCGATGTTGCTCTGGTGAGCAGCAGAGCTGCTGTTTCTTAATGTTGTTGATTAGCATCATGATGATGCAAAGGATGATGGCACTGACTGGAAAACAGAACACCAGGCAAGGCAGAACGAGAGGGCAGCTGTTGTGAGCCTCGTGTTTACACTGCAAGTATGAGGAGGAGGATGCCGATCCCAAAACGGAGGGCGCCGCTGGTATGATGATGATGATGGTGATGATGATGTCGTTGTTGACGAGACATTGGTGATGAGGTTGACTATCTTGCTTACGACAGTGAGGACAAGGACGTAGACGATCAGAATGAACAGCAACTTGCCTATTCTTCAGATGATGATGGTCATGACATGTCATGACAACGATGGTTTGCAATTGCTATGGTGTTTTCGAGTGCTGTTGATATGGCTATGGTCATGCTGCGTTGTTGACAATGTCGTTGCTCATGATGGTGAGCGGTGATCAATGGCAGCGTCGCTCAGCGACAGCAGAGCAAGGCAGGTTGATTGTAGACTGTTACCACAGCAAGGCTGCTACTAAGTGTCTCGAAGCAGGATAATAACATTAGTTCCTGGTCTATCATAATTCGTCCGTACCCGCCAGCAAATAGCCAAAGGCCAAAAGACGGCATCATCAGCATTATTGCCAGGTGATCACCGCAGCCGTGGTCGCCACCGCCACCACCGCCACCACCCGCACCACCCGCACCACCAGCACCACCAGCACCAGCAGCAGCACCGGCACCACCAGCAGCACCAGGACCAGCACCAGTACCAGGCGGCACACAAAAAAAGATTTTCTTCAGCTGACAACCAGCCACAAAGGGCCTTCTCGGGCAAGCTTCGTGAGCCAATTCACCTGGAGGCACATAAATAAAGATTCTCATCAGCTGACAGCCAGCCACAAGGGAGCACTAGCACCAGCACCAGCAGCAGCACCAGCACCACCACCAGAGTCAGTCGCGGTCCTCCTCCTGGACGGCGAGGATGAGGAAGACAACGACAAGAAGAACGACGACGAAGATGGCGGAACGGACGACAGAAGGAGGAGGAGCAGAGCATATCATCGAGACAAGGGACAGAATGGTAACGACATTAAACAAAACGGCAGCAGGGCAAAGCCGTGTTCCGAGAGGAAGTGCTCACATGCTTGCGCATGACCTTGGCTTTGAGGAGTCTGCGCTGAGTGTTTTCACGGTGGTTCTTGGCTGCATGTTCCGCCAATTGCCGCCAGGCTCCCGAGTGTCTGATCAAGGCCGCACTCCGTGCAGGCTCGGGTGCGGCTCGCATTTAGAAATCTTCTGCAGAGCCAGAAGCCGGCGCCGACAAAAAAGTCCCCCAAGCCTCGAAAATAGGAAAAGAGAACAGGGCAGGGGCTCCAGAAAATGTTTGCGCCAGGAACCAGTGACAACACCACTACCCTGGTCGCCTTCTTCGGCGGGGTCCAGGGCCTGGTGGCGGTGAGCTTCATGATGATGGCGATGATATCGGGATGGTGATCGTGGCGGTGATGGTGAGGATGGTTTTAAAAGGATGACAGCGGGGACGCTCCACATCTCATCTTCATCAGTCCTTTCTGTGCGCGCATCTACAAAAACTCTCATCGTTGCCGTTCGCTCCACATCTTTCATCGATGCCCAGCCTGTCCTCCCTCACCAGTGTGGTGTTGCTTGACTGAGGCTGAGGACTCTGGACGCTGAGCGTTTGAGTTTCAGCGTGGCGCCTTTCCACAAGGCGGATGGCGGACGGCCCCGAAGCTCAGAGGAATTTCACCAGCCACCAGCTGTTCTTGACCGTGAGCATCTTCGGAGTGTCCGCAGTCCTCACAGACTGAAATCCCGGCGAGTGCCCGAAATTCGGGGCCTCCGGGCGTTTCCTTGGGGCAACGCTGTCGGCCTCTGTCTTCGACGCTGGAGGCGACGTGAGACGGGGCCCGCCCCGCGGTGTCTCCCGCGAACTAGGAAGGACACTCCTGTTGTAGGTCATAAGCCATGTCCGTCTTCTGGGCTGAGTGGAGAGGCTTACGACTTTCACCGCAGTACGCATAGGCAGGCACGACCCCTGGCCCCGCTGAACCTCGGTGGGCGCGCAGCGATTTTAGAGCAGAAATCGGACGGCATCTCTCTTCCAGTGAACCCTGAGTGCTGCGACAACTTGGTGCAAGTGAATCCGTGAGTGGACATTATCAGGGTTGGCCCATGGATGCTTTGCGATGCTTTGCGACAACGGATGGAGTCTGAGTGGACGTTATCATGCTTGAAGGAACCGAAAATCGCGTTTCCAGAAAATGGCCCTATTACCCCCCCCCCTCCTCCAAGCCCGACTTTGTCGGCAGGGCCAAGGTTTTCGTGGCCTGACAAGGCGAAAAGCGTGGGATCCGTTACACTGCCGTTACCAACAACAACAGCAGCAACAACAACAACAACCACAACAACAACACCAACAGCAACAACAACAACACCAAACAACACCAAACGACGACAACAACAACAACAACATTAACAGCAACAGCATCAGCAACAGCAACAGCAACAGCAACAGCAACAGAAGCAGCAGCAGCAGCAGCAGCAACAGCAACAGCAACAGCAACAGCAACAGCAACAGCAGCAACAACAACAACACCGGCAGCAGCAGCAACAACAACAACACCAGCAGCAGCAACAACACCAACAACAGCAACAACCACAACGACCACAACGTCCACAACGACCACAACGTCCACAACGACCACAACGACCACGACGACCACGACGACCACAACGACCACGACGACCACGACGACGACAATGACAACAGCAACAACAACAACCGCCAACTCCACTACCACCACAACCATCACCACCGCAACCGCCACGACGACCACGACGACAACAACGACAACCAACCCTGCAGACCCCGCAAACCCCGATTCGAGCAGAAAGGGCGAGGCATGTCCCATTCCTGCGGTGCGTCAACTTGTTGCTGCAAGTGAAACTGTTCATACTGCCCTTCTCATGGGGTTCAAGAGACCTGCGTTTCGTATAGCCTGAAAAATCCTGAGCACACGCGAACAATCCGACCGGGAAGCAAGCATTCGGAGCTCTTGGAGGGTTGCATAGCACATTATCGGCAGTGCCAACATAGCCGGACTGCACCTGCGCTGCGAAGCTGACCTGCAGGCCTCCCTTCCAGGGCAGCGCACTTTGTCTGTGTCGGAAGAGTGTATATACAGTCGCTATGTAGGACTTTTGGTCAGTGTACATAGTGACATGGTGTGTTTGTGTGTTTGTGTGTGTGCGTGCAATTGGGGAGACCTTACGTCTTGGTATGGTTTCGCCACTGCATCTTGTGTGTCCTTGTACTTGCTGCTGTGAGAAGGATGCCGCTCCTCTACAGGTGGGAAACTCAGACTCAATTAGTTGCTGGCAAGTTCGAGTCACGATACAGCGAAGCGAATGCAGCAGGAACCCAAAGCGCTTACTTCGTTCAACCAACCCGTAAATCAATGTAAATCAACTCCTTCCTCCAGCCCCCTCGCTCATTCCATACACTTCCTGATGTGCGGGCCCATTCACTCCCGCTGCATGGCATGTCAATCTCCGTTTGCTCGTCCAGTCTGCTCATTCACAGGCATCACATGCCAACGTGTTCTCAAACCTCACCTGCTTTTCCCTTGCATCATTCCCACCACCCATGCAGTCAGCCTCTTGCCCACTTGTCACTACGTGCCTGCTGGCTTTCGCTCGCCCTGGCTATCGTGTCAAGTACCTCTCAGAGTTTGCTTTCCTGCAGAATGGACACATTGTCGCAGAAGTTCTACGCCTCAGCCTCAGTCGCCAGCTAAAACATGTCGTGGGAGCTGAGCATTTGCTGTAGCAGCAAGAGCCCGAGCAAATGCGAAGTGCAACCTGGACATACTCTGAGAGCAACTTGCAGGCAGTCCTACAGTCATCATGGAGGCGATGTAGAGGTCTAATCATTCTTATCTAGCCTTACCCGGCGTAACTACCGAGTCCAAGGATGCGACACATCCAGGCTGCAGGACCAGTCACAACATAGACCCTTGAGATCCCACAATTGGCTACATCTTTCAGACCATGTGAGACTCAGTTGGGCCCGAAGTGCTTCTCCCAGCAGGTTGCTCTGCGTGCGGGTCGGGGACTTGGAGCGTCCTGCGGGTCTCAGAGACCCTGCGGTCGATGCTTTAGGTTAGTCTTGGGTGTCGCTTAGGGTTTGGGCCGGTCTTTTGTTCGGCAGATGCTGCGGTGCTTGAGCCGCAGGTGGCACCTCCGGCGCCGGTGCTCCTGGGTAGGGTGGTCGCCTCGGTGCTTGCGATGTCGAGGGCGACCGTGAAGGGTCATCTTTTCGTAGGGTTGTCGTGGCGTGCAGCATTGTGGTCGTTGATAATATGGGGCTCACTCATTGCGCCCCGATGCGCCATGCAGGAACAGAGCAGCCCTCTCAGCGTTAGACGCCTGCTTGCGAATGCTAGCTAAAAGGTCGCAGGGACTCGTAGGAGATGCGAGCAAGAGCATGCAGACTCACCCCCCCAACCCCAATGCACGTTGCGTAGATCTCCACCCATCCCGAAGCGATGTGTTGGTGCTTGCGAAGCTCAGGCTGGAAGCTTCACTGGTCAGAGCCAAGGCAAGGGTAAGAAGGCCTCAAATGCGGCGCTCTTCCACGTTGGGTGGCGAGCACTTGAGTCTTTGAACTCCGTACTCCTATCAGGACGGCAGAGATGGCGGGAAGCACCACAACGATGACAACATGGGAGGCCCGGGCCTTTGCGCTGGGAGTGAGCGCCACGGAACGACGGTTGCTTAATGATGCTGTCCAGGCGGAAACGGTGCCAAGGACTGACCTCCCTCAGAAGAGCTGAGGATCTTGTCCCCAGAGATGCTCTGCCCAGTCGCCCAGGACATGCCGCAGAAGAGGTGGGTCGAGAAGACGGAGCCGCATGGCAAGGGTCACAGAGGCACGCGCAAGCTTCAGCAATTGCTCGGCGTTTCCACCCCCCCGCGCTTTTGAGAATCAGACTCCCTGCAGGCGGCTGGCAGCCCACGGATGTCACGAAGCAGCAAGCGATGCCGCGTGCCTGAAACTGCTCCATGAAAACCATGCTAGGTCTTAGGTCATAAGGGGTGTGGATCGATCTCACAGTCTCGGTCGTACAGATGTTTGCTGCTCGCTCTCTCTCTCTCTCTCTCTCTCTCTCTCTCTCCCGCTCGGTCTGTTTTCAGCAGTTGAAGCTTGCAGGATGTCGCCGGGCGGGAAAAGCTACAGCAAAGGCGTGGCACTTTCGCTTGGCTTCTGCGTTCCCGTATCACGAAAGCTAGCTGAGTTTCTTGTCTACCGACGGTCGCAATAAGGGGTGTGGGGCGGGGTGGGTTTTCCGGGCTAGACTGCGCCGGGAGCTGGATGGGACGCGCCCCTAATGATGCTAATGCTCGCCTACCGGTTCCGGCGGGTCGTCTGCATGTTGGGGGACCACTCGTCACAGGAGGTTGTGATTTCGAGAGTCATGCCCATAATTGGCAGCCACACACGCAGAGTACACAAAGAACCGCAAAGACACACACACACACACACTTGAAGACCAGTCATCCCGTGGGATGCTGTTTGTGTCAGAGTTACTTCTCCTCTGATTTTCCTGTGGCTACTCCTCTTCATGTCAAGGATGTAGTAAGCTAGTTACTCACTGCAGGTACGTTTTCACCCCTCCCTGGGGGCGTCTTCGTTGGCCAGCGACCCCCAGGGAGAGCGCTGGCCCCCTGCCTACAAGTAGAATCCTTTGGAACAGGACTTGCACGCACACAGAACCGGGTTACCCCGGTACACGTTTTTGCGCTCATCCGTGAGTGCGAACAACATAGGTACTTTAACGAAGCGCATTCACTCGCATAACGATGCGCACTCACTTGCATGACGATGCGCACTCACTTGCATAACAATACGCATTCACTTACATAACAAACTGTATAGAAGAATTTTACAAAGCACAACAACACAACAAGGACGACGCTGAGGAGCGAAGCACAACAACGAACGACAACACAACAACGACGACGACGACGACCGAACGACACAACAGACAACATCACAGCAACATAGGAGCAGCAACAGACGCCCAACACGACGCCAACAAAAGCAGCAACACAGCAACACGACGACGACGACGCAACAAAGCGAAACAACTGTAGCAACACAACATTTCTAGAGCTTAGCACCATAATCCGGGGTCTTCCTTGGAGCAGGCGCCAGTGCTTCTTGGCACTCCGTATTTTTGTGAAATGAAAATGATAGCTGGCCATGGCAAAGGACACAAACGGAAGGGTGAACCAGAATGTTAAATGATTTGATGGTGATGGAACTACTCTTTGGCTCCGCAATCTGGGGTCTTTCATGGAGCTGTCCAGTCAAGGGTATGCAACTCAAAAGTCAGAGTGTCTTTCAGGGTAGCCTGTGTAGGCTGAAACCAAGAAAAGGGTAATCCAATGGGAAACAGGTCATTTTGGGCCTTTGTCCTGAGGAGGCTTCCGGGACTCAAGGCTCATGCATAATGAGGAACAGATACAAACTGGGGGAACCAGGTGTATTCATTATCCCCCGCTGACCGGGAGTCCGACAGCGCTTTGGCAGAATTACTGTCGGGAAAACACACTTGAAGACCAGTCATCCCGTGGGATGCTGTTTGTGTTAGAGTTACTTCTCCTCTGATTTTCCTGTGGCTACTCCTCTTCATGTCAAGGATGTAGTAAGCTAGTTACTCACTGCAGGTACGTTTTCACCCCTCCCTGGGGGCGTTTTCGTTGGCCAGCGACCCCCAGGGAGAGCGCTGGCCCCCTGCCTACAAGTAGAATCCTTTGGAACAGGACTCACACACACACACACACTGCACACACACACACACGCGCATGTATATATATATATATATATATATATATATATACGATAATATAATATAGTATAATATAATATAATATAACATAATATGATATAATATAACATAATATAATATAATATAATATAATATTATATTATATAATATAATATAACATTATATCATATAATCTAATATAATCTAATATAATATAATATAATAGTCTACACACACCCATGCTTGTAGCCAAGCCTGTAGTAACTGTAATACAACATTCACAGGCCGTTCCACGTAGCATGTTGTTCGCCTCTGTTTCGTGAGATCCCACTGTGAGTATCGGAAGCATGCGGGCTTGAGCTACCCTGCAGCGGTGTGCGCAAGACACATTTGCCATATTTTGCCATGACCTGTGCATGCACATGAACAGTAAAGCCCATGACGCACTCTTGACTTGGGTTCCAATCAGAGCCAGTAGACGAGCATCAGGAGCATCATTCTTACCCAGGCAGAGCCGCTATGAATGTCATCAGCTCACACATCGCAGAGGGTACGAGTTGTTACGAGCTTGGGCGTGTGTATGTTGTTGAGATTACAGATAAGGGTCAACTCATACGTCACAGAGGGTACAATGCAGGCATCGGCATGTGGTATGTGTCTGACATCACCCATACAAGGGGGTACGCTTTGCTGCGTAAAACTGCCGGTACATGGGCATGTTTTTGAGATCACGGCGTGTGTATGTGTCGGCATCACACATAACAGGGCACGGTTTGTACTATGGTTAGTACTATGGAGCGGCATGTGGGACGGCCTGTGATGATATGCGATCACGCATCACAGGGGGCATGACTTGCTACTCGCATTGGCATGGTATGGTTTGCGACCGCACCTCACGGTGTTTTTGTTTATAAATTTGCCGTTGTATCACAGGCATCGGCGTGTGCATGTTGTGGCCTCACACGGGGCATTATTTGGTTGCACACGCTGCAGAGCGTTTGGAGCGCTCCGCGGGCGCACGGCAGATGGCCTAGAGCTGGTGGTGCTTCCACTCATCCGCTCCCATCCGCTCCCACTCCCACTCTCCCTGCTTCCCTCTCTGTAAGGCAAGGCATCGACGTGTGTGCCAGACTTGGCCTCCTGCTGACCAGGACCGGGTTCACATGCTTGAGGGAGCCGTGCGGCACTCGCCAAGCCTGGCGACTGGCCTTCCTATCAACTTCCGTCTATCTCTCGCTGTCTGTCGCTCTCCCTCCTTCGCTCTCTCCAGAGATCTCCAGCTCTCTCTGTCTGTCCCTGTGTCTGCTGTTCTAGCCCAGTCAGCTTTGGGACATGAATGTGAGGCCTTGGGGATTTGGCAATGGTGCAGAGTCCATGGCACCTGCACCTATCGGTTGCTATCCTCGTTATAGTGGAGGTCCGGCCAGACGCCCTCCATGGACACGAATCAGAAGGCTGGCCTGGACGAGTGATGCTTAAGCGATGCGCAAGCGCTTCGTGCTCGTCAGAGCCGGCTCTTGCTGCATCTTCAGGCTGGAAGCTTCACCGGTCAGAGCCAAGGCAAGTGTAAGAAGGCCTCAAATGCGGCACTCTTCCACGTTGTGTGGCGAGCACTTGAGTCTTTGAACTCCGTACCCCTATCAGGACGGCAGAGATGGCGGGAAGCACCACGACGATGACAACATGGGAGGCCCGGGGCCTTTGCGCTGGAGTGAGCGCCACGGAACGACTGTTGCTTAATGATGCTGTCCAGGCGGCAAGGGTGCCAAGGACTGACCTCCCTCAGAAGAGCTGAGGATCTTGTTGCCAGAGATGCTCTGCCCAGTCGCCCAGGACATGCCGCAGAAGAGGTGGGTCGAGAAGACGGAGCCGCATGGCAAGGGTCACAGAGGCACGCGCAAGCTTCAGCAATTGCTCGGCGTTTCCACCCCCCGCGCTTTTGAGAATCAGACTCCCTGCAGGCGGCTGGCAGCCCACGGATGTCACGAAGCAGCAAGCGATGCCGCGTGCCTGAAACCGCTCCATGAAAACCATGCTAGGGTCCTACGCGTGTACGGAGCCATAGAGGTGGTGCTTCAAATGTAGGCTCCTTTCTCTCTCTCTCTCTCTCTCTCTCTCTCTCTCTCTCTCTCTCTCTGTGTTTTCCACTCTTTAGCCTTGCAGGCAGCAGGTCCCAATGTCGCCCGGTGGGAAGAGCAACAGCAAAGGCACACGGTACTCTCGCTTGGCTTCTGCGGTTGCCTTCTCCAGCCCTGCAGGCTCTCAGCCGCTCACGGGTCGGGGCATGGGCGGCCCAGGCCCAATGCTCAAAGCCCGGGCCAGCCGAGTGCCAATACTGTGATCCACTTCTGACTCCCAAAGTCTAGGCCCCAAGAACCAGAAGGGTGTTGGCCGAGATCCTGGGATGGACGCCTGCCTGTCGGCTCCTGAGAGATTACCGCGCGGATCATCCTGCGAAGATGCTCTGTCAGAGCTCTGCTCAGGAGCTTCCGCTTTCAAGGCCAAATCCCGGCCACCGCCACAGGCCCCACTTCTGGAGCGGTGCCGGGGGAAGTGAGGGTAAGGGAGGGGTCTTTCTTGACGCTGCGAGGTTCTACGAACATGCGAGCAGAGAAGATGTTGGGCGACGAGGATGAGGAAAGGCGCGGAACTCGGTTTGCGTGGCATCTCGACATCCTTTTCGCTCAGGTGGTACTCTCTCAGCCGGGAGCGAAAAGGAGCCGGCAAGCAAGGCGGGGCTCTCATTTTCTTGCCTCAAGAAGCCGAGCGGATGACGCCGCGATGTGCCCTGCGACGCAGGTGGTGGCAAAGGGCAAGCCAAGGGCAAGGCTCCGAATTCATGGACAACGGTCTCAAGCGGTTGCATTTCCATGCATGTCCTCATGTCTGCCCCACATGTGTGCTCAAGCGCAGGGTTGCAACGGCAAAGGCAAGGCCAAAGGCGGCAAAGGCGCGGCTTCACTGACTGCAGTCTGGCACCTCACAGCGCATCACAGCGCTCGCACGCGCTCTGCGGCCTCTGATAAACGGCTCAGCTCGGCTTGGGTCTCTCTGGGCTCGGGTCGGTTCCTCGCAAGGTGGAGGCAGCCGTCAGCGCGCTAGCAGATGAGAAAACCACGCCCGGGCCGCGGAGAAGGAAAGGGCTTCCCCTCCCTCATGAGAAGCTTTCGCGTGCTGCGTGAACCGAAGGTCTTACCACGCTGCAGCGAGAAGCACCAACAATCACCAAACACTAAGATTAGTGTTTCAAGAGCTGCCATCAGACAGACCTCCATGCCGTGTGATCGCTGGAGTTCCCATCGTGTCTTGCATCAAAGCACCGTACATAATGACGTGCGGGGAGCTTTGTATGACTTTGGTGTTTCAGTGCGGACTCTCATTTGTCGATAGCTTCTGGCTGGCCCCTGGCGCCGATCTGCACATCTGTGACATGATTGATTCCTGCAGCATTTTTCTCTACCCTTCCCTTTCTAAGGTCAGCGCATGTAAGTGCTGAGGGTCGAGAGGGCATGCAGGACTCACATGATCAGCAGATGTTCGTCAGCGGCCGGCTCCGCTTGCGAAGCCGCTTTGGGAATGACCAAGTCATGTTAGACAGTCGTCTCAGAAAATGGACGCAAGGCATTGACTACGAACTCCCGAGGAGGTCTCGTGTGAAAATGCTCCTCCTTGCAGTTGGACCTGTGTACCTAGAAGGCAAGACTTGCCAGCCCTTGCCTAGCCAAAACTGAACTTGCAGCACTTTAGCTCTATGACTTCGGGAGCTATGCGACACAAGCCGCAGAAGCGGCAGGGCTTCCAGGCTGCCGGGTTCAACTGTACGGGATGCCTTGTCTGGTCGAGATGACACCAAGGCTGCACACGAGCTTTCCCGCCTTTTTCCCGCCTTTTCCTTTAAGGGCTCGGAAAGGCTGGTTATTGGAGCTTCTTCACAGCCACAAGATGCACGTATCACAGATTGCTAATCTGACTTGTTTTGGTGGGACTGCTCGACTTCTCTTCGCTTTCAACCTCACCACCCTCTGTCTGCGACGGCGATCGATTCTAGAGCAAAACGGGGTGCATGAGTTGCTGCGAGTGATGGATGGTTTCACTTGCAAGAACAACTTATCCACTCGGGCTTCACCAGAAGGGACATGCTGCATTGTTTGCTCACAGCTGACTCGCTGCAATCAGCTGATTTCGAACGATTTCGGCCATCATGGCCTTGACCGGTGTTGTGAAGAAGTATGACGCTGCAAAGGCCTGCCGTGCAGACCGCAAGAGAGAGCACGCGCCACGACTCCCCACGCAAGCGTGCCTGCAGGGCTTCGGATTCATCGTTCCCACTGGAACCAGCACGGACCTGCTCCCATTGCTACAAGTGCCAGCATGCTCTGCTTGTTTTGTCGCGGAAGTATCTTCAGAATGCTTGCGAGGACCTCTTCGTTCTGGGCATGGATGTTATGGGTGGAACACTGCAGGCTGGAGACAAGGCATTTGGGGGTTTTGCTTGCTTGCCCTGGCGTTTGTGTCGCCTCGTTCTGTTTTCCTCAGGAAACATGTGTGTTGCAATGTCAACCTCAAGGGGTGTTGAAACACCACATGTTCATTCTGGGCCTAAATTTGGAGTGCTCTTGTCTAGTATCACGGCAGCGCCAGGTCACTTTCGACGAAGGCCTCAACGAGCGAACGGGCAAGCCCAAGGCCATCCGCGTCGCTGGAGGATCTGGACCTGCACCAGGCATCCTGTGCTTCAAGCTCGTGAAACCCGAATCCCTGATCCCGGACGCAGAGCATGCACAGAGCCCATCTTTCAATTACGGTTTGATCTCCTTAGCGCCGCAGGCGGCAAGGGTGGAAAGGGCAAAAGAGGCGACAAGGGCAAGGGAGGAGGCCACCGTGTCGAAGAGGTTTCTGAGTCGACCGCTGGAGTCGAGCGCCTTTGGCACAAGTGTCAGCCTTTTCCGGAGGTGCGATGCAGCTTGCAGGACAGTCTTTGGGTTGGTTCTGTCGCACCTCACCCCAAAACCCTCAAGCCCTGAACCCAAAGGCCGAAACCGCAAACTCCTCGCAGGAGCTCTGAACGGAGGCTTCGTTGCCGGACCGGCTCCCCGTGGCTCCGGCTGCGGCCCTTGCGGCTTGATGCCAGGCGGCTGCCTCAGACACGTCTTTGAATGAACAGGCAAAGAAATATCAGACTTAGGACTTATATAATCTGTTCAATGTTTTCTCATGCTGATCTGTCTCCCTATCCATCAATCTATCTGTCGATCTTATCTATCGATGTTTCTGTCCATAGTCTGAGATTATTTATAACCAGTTGTGTTTGTGGTACGTACGGCACTTAAGCTTATCCCGGCCGAGGTGGGGGCTGCGGCCTTGGGGCAGGCTTGAACTGCATCGCGTGACTTAGTCTGTGGTCTGTATTGCTCTACGTGTAGATACAGTGCAATCGCTTCTTGTCTTCATCGCTCGGCAGGAAAAGCAGCAACCTATGGCTTCACGTCCGGCGTGGTGAAGTTCCTCATCTGATGTAGGGTTTAAATTACCGTTCTGGTGACTGTAGATAGGGCTCCTTTTGAATTGGTGAGTGTATATATTGCGTGTCGTTATGAGGATACTAGTAATATAAACCATACTCCATCTCGCCATGAGGACCCCGTGTCCGGGCCGGAATCGTGTCTCATCCGGCAGATTTCTGAGGTTCTTCCACAATGAGAAAGGTTATGGGTTCATCAAGCAGAACGATGGTGGCAATGACCTCTTCGTCCATCGTGGCTTATCTTCCACGGTGCTGTTTGAGCATTGAGAAGTCTGGGAAAGGAGTGTTTGGGGTTCTGCATGTTCTGCATCTCAAAGCTGAAAGCGTTTTCGATGAGGCGACATGGTGATCGACACCCTGCTGAATGCCGGAGATCACGTGCAGTACTGCGAGATTGTTCACGTCCGAAGTAACCGAATGTGCGCGGGCTACGTCACTGGCGGCACAGGCGCACCGAAGCCCCCCCAGGAAAAAGGCGCAGGAAAGGGTGGCAAGGGCAAGAAAGGTGGCACAAGAATTGTGCCTAACGAGCCGAGCCTTCCCAATCCTGGCATGGCTTCCAGTGGCCTGAGCGCTGCCAGTCCGAGCCCAAGCCCTCGCATCTCTATCTTTGGGCTTTGGGTAAGGGTTTGCCATGTCGAGGTTTTGGAGGCTCTATCTTCTTCATTGATTCAGGGTCTGATCGGGCTTTGTCGGATTTAGGGTACTTCGTTTGTGGCTTCTGCCGTCAGTAGTTGCAAAGTAGAGAGCCCATGCTGCGGCTGCATCCGAGGTAGCGGAGGCGGCTGCAGCACTTGGCCATGCGGCTATGTGGGGCCATGCAGCCCGAACCGGGAGGCTTGGGGTGTCTTGGGATGCTGAGCCCAGCTCCAGAGCTTCCGTGTGCAGGGGAACACGGCCATGGCATCCTGCCCAGGCCAGAGCCTAAGCTGTGAGACCACGGCGCTGCGGTAATCTCACGGACTCCTGGGTCTTGTCTTTTGAACGCACGGTCTCAGGTGAGGACCCGCAGCTGAAGATCGCCTGCTTCGCTCAGCTGATGAACGTGGCAAATCCCAGCGACTCTGCGCCCCATCCGAACCCAAGCTCCAGCGAGAGGCCGTGGCATTTTGGTGTCCGGGCGCGTCGTGCAAGTCCTGCGATGTCTCACCATGCTCTCAGAGTGCCTACACGTACGCAGCACGAAGAGAAGCAGCCCCGTTTTTTATTGTGTGGTACTGCCCTTTTTTGTGTGATTTCGCCCTGAAGACCCTCAAGACCCCCCCTCTGAAAGGATCAGGGGCCTAGCAAGCAGGTTATAAGTGTAGCAAAAAGTAACATCCTTGCGATTTGTCGTGCTTATAGCTTCACTTAAAGCCTTGACAAGGGCCTGGGAAGCTTCCGGCTGGCAGTGTTCGGGGTTGAGGCTTGGGGGTTCAGATTTTGGGGTTTAGGTAGAGGGTTTAGGTTTCGGGGCTTACAGGCTCAGGCATGAATCAATGCGGCTGGGGGCTGAGAATTGATGTCTGGCCTCGAGAATCCTTCTGCCAGAGAGGCATGAACACGAAACCCTGCTCGAAAGTTGAGAACCTTCGAGCGGGCTATCACAGTTGCGGGCTGGACATAGGCTATGGCTTCAGAGCGTCACGCTGGAACGTTTGGCAGACTGCAATATCCGGAATCATTGAACCCCGCAGACCCAAACGCCAAGTCTCCAAGCCTGAGGCCTGGAACCCTAGACCCTAAGACTCCCTGCAATGCGGGCTTCGTCCTTGCTAGGTAGGAGGGAAAAAAAAACTCGAAACCCTTAGCCCACGAAAAAGCTTAAGCTGCGGCCGGAGGCACAAGGGCCGGCACAGCGATGTCGACACGTCAGCTCGAGACCTCAGCAATATCCACTCCGCATACAGAGACACGCAGTCGGAAAGATCGACAGTTTTTTGGTTCACTCAATTTATTGTTCCGCATGCCCGCATTTACCGCCACTGCTAGAGCTGCTGCTCTTGCACTTACGACATCCGCCCAAAGTAGATAGCTCCTGAACCACGGATGCTTTCCGTAAGCCTTCAGCCTTCAGTGCCAGGTCCTTGTTTTGCCTTTGGAGTCGGGGACTTGGAGAGCGTCCTGCGGGTCTCAGAGACCCTGCGGTCGATGCTTTAGGTTAGTGGTTTTAGGTGGTTGGGTTTGAAGACGTTCCTTGTTTCGCGATGCTTCCTTGGGCTGCAGGTGGGGCCGACGCTTCTGACTTCCCAGTGCCGCGCTTGGACCGGGATTTTTTGCAATGTTGGGTTTGGGGGTCCGACGACGACTAGTGCCAAAACGACAACGACTACTCCTGCTGCTACTACTACAACAACAATTACTACTACTACTACTACTACTACTACTACTACTACTACTACTACTACTACTACTACTACTACTACTACTACTACTACTACTACGACTACTACTACGACTACTACTACGACTACTACTACGACTACTACTACGACTACTACTACTACGACTACTACTACTACTACTACTACTACTACTACTACTACTAGTCCTACTAGTAGTACTACTACCACTGCCGCTTCCACTACCACTTCCCCTGCAACTACCCCCAGGCCACTTCGCTGGGTGGTCAGGAAGACATTCCTGGAGGCCAGGTGTGAAGGGTAAGCTCAAAGCCTCCACACATGTGACGCTCAGGTTGAGGAGGAGAGCCCTTCACCTCTTCGACCTCTCCGACGACAGCAGTCGGAGCCAGCCCAGCGCTGAGCCTGACCCACCGGGAATTGAAGCAGAGTGCGTCAAGTGCAAAGGCGATCAGCTCCTGGGCCGATCTCCAGGTGCGGGGAAAAACTTATGGTAAACGGGGTTTCTCGGGTGTGGCGGCTCATTCGTTTGTATTGTTTCAATCCATATTTCTGGGGGTAACCCTTATCTCATCCGTTTTTCATATTTAAGGCTCTTTCGTTTCTACAATCATAAAAACCACATTTTGAGACACTTTTTTGTTTTTTAATTTCCTTATTTTGACAAATTTAGTTCTCCGGTGTAATTTCTCACCTTCTTCATTTTTTAAACTATTTTTTGTCTTGAAGTGCTGTTGAAAAAATCAGTCACTATAATTACATCGCCTTCTTCATTTTTAGCCATTATCACTACCTCATTCGTTTTGCATGATCACCAGAATTTGACCTAATGTTCATACACCACCTCATTCGTTTCAAATTTCATATACGTACCTCATTCATTTTATGTTTTTTTGCTTTGCCTTATTCGTTTTCAAAATCCTTAAAATTCGGCGGGGTTTCTCCGGTCACACGCTCACCTCATTCGTTTCATTCATCTCATTGTAGTTGTCACCTCACTCGTTTTTCATCTCATTGTCACCTCATTCGTTTTTTTCATCTCATTGTTTACCTGTTCTGTTTTTTTCACTCACCCCAGTTCCGGTGCTTCCCTTGAAGTACTCACGTCACCTCTCACGTTTCCATTTTTCCGCCTAGTACTTGTTCACTACGTTTTGTTCTTGTCCTCTCATTCGTTATTTTCCGCTTCTTGTTTCGGGTATTCTTCCCTTTACTTTGGTGGTTCATAGATTCTACCATAATATTGTAAAACAATAATAGGAAGTGTTCGGAGTTTGAGCATTACTGGGGCTTAGTGGGTGTTCAACCATTACATGATATATGTGGGTATTCAACAATTATATTATGTTTAATATTAATATTCTGGTCGGTTTAGTCAAAGGGCTTAAATGCATTATCGATATATATATATATATATATATATATATGTGTGTGTGTGTGTGTGTGTTTATTTCATTTCTATCAATATAGCAGTCACAATCTTCTAATAAATAGCCAATATACATTACAACCACTTTATAAAACAAGTCTAAGTTTCCATATTCTGTTTTATCATAAATATAAGTACAAGATAAAAATGAGTTCATATGATAACCTACAGCACATTTTTTATACTTTCTTCGCTCCATATATCCGTAAGAAAACTTGCGACAATACCAAATATATCAGCAACTTTTTACCTTTATCACCTCTTGTTTAAATTCATTCTTTTATTTGTTGTTTCATGCTACTTCTCTTTCTTGTCCTATCATCTATGAATGATTTTGGATTATTCTTTATCAACAAGAAGAACTGCTTTTCTACTTTACTCAATTCTTTGTCAAATGCGAACGGACTGCGATGCCTAGTCAAGTTCTATGGTGTCCCGATAAGAGCTATGAGTGAGGCCTTGTATAGGTCAGGAGTGGAGGCACGCTTCGCGTACTCCATCTCTAGGTGTAGGCCTGTGGGCATGCTACGCATACCACAGTGCCGAACCATTTTGTCATATGCCGCCCATGCAACTTTGGCTCAAGAATGAGCACAAGCTCTAGAAAGCATCGCCGATAGCTGAAATAGCTTTCGTCTTCTGTGACCTTTCTGAGGAACAGAGCCATCCCGAGCACAGACGATCCATCGCTGGCCGCGAAGGTGGAAAACAAGCGAGCTCTGGATCTGCCTGCCCTGGGAGTAGTGCTTGTACGTGGGTGCGAAGGAGAGAGCGTATCGAGTCTGTTGAGGGCAACTACATCATTACCCAACATAGCTCGGTGGGGTGAGCGACAAGGAACATCATCAAGAACAAATCCCCACGCAGGTTATCAGCCGTAGGCTCTGCCTACCAACAGCAAAGACTACTTGATCTACCACTACCACAATGAACTCAGGATCGAGTCAAGATACGACAATGACTTTCGGTGCCGACGTGGCAGCGCCAGCAATCGGTGATTCGACTGCTGACGACACTGTGGTGCAATCCGTTGATAGCTCCACTGAAGATGACAGAGGTCAATCTTCTACTCTTGCCATCGCAAAGGCAGTTCCCAAAGCAAAAGCAAAAGGTGCACCAAGAGCATCCACGCCTTCACGTCCGACATCCTCAGGATCGAGGACAGCTAAGGCGATTGATGGACGTTCTGAGACATCTGGTTTTCAGGTGCCAAGGACACCGTCGAGGGCAAAGGACAGAGGGGTGAAGACTATGGAGAAGGCGTCAAGACCGTCGTCTTCCAGAAGCTCATCAGCACGATCTAGGACATCAACAGCTAGAGCGCGGGAGAGATCCATGACATGGAAGAAAATGGTCACGAACCATCCTCATGACCCTGATGACGCAGATATGACCCTCGAGACCATACCGGTACGGGGTGATGCATCATCGGTGGCTACCCCGGCCATAGCTGATGATCCGAATCTCTATCAGGAAATGACGGTGAGACAACAGATCGAAGCATCGAACCTAGCGCAGCAGATGTACTACCGGAGCGACGTGCAGGAGTACGAGAGCGTTGTGCAGAACCTGGTGGACAAGATCAGAGAGATGCAGCAGGAAGATGAAGGGTCCGGAATTCGCATCGAAGAATTGGAACGACAACGTGACCACGCATGTTTGGCCATGCGGCACATCAACAAGGTCAATCAAGAAATGAAGCGTGATTATGAGGCTGCGTTGTTTCGCATGGACGAACAGAACTCAGCTCAACAACGTCAAGGTCATGCTATTGCCGAAGAACTTGCCCACCAACTACATGTAGTTCGCACCGAAGCAGCCGCAAACTTTGTGCAGTTGGAAGCACGAGCTCAAGGTGATGGAGAACTTATGGCACGTGAGTATGAGCATCTAACACAAGAACTTCATGAACAAGCCAGGGAGAACTTGTACCTCCGATCGAGCACGGCCAGCTCAGAGCAGGCCATGCATGCCATGCAGGAACGATTCATTCTCGCCAGGAATCAGGAATTACGAGTCATGAACGAGATTCAAGGCATGGCTGGTAATCAGACAGCCATGGATCACGAACAGAATCGACTTCGTGAACGTCTTGGTGAAGAAGAAGAATTTCGTAAAATGGCAGTGAAAAGGATGCATGACGCAGAAGTTCAACTTCAACAGCACGAAGATCAAGCAAGACAGGCCTTGCCGACATTGCATGACGAGCTGAACGAGCTCAGGAGAGCACTCAAAGCACAAGAAGATCTCCAGTCAAGGACACAAAGTGAGCTTGAGGCGGCACGAAGTACCAGCATGCATGTCGAATCGTTCCGTCCACCAAGCGGACCTATGTCCTCAAGAACTACTGAATCGGGCTGGGAACACGTAGGAAAGGATGTAGTGCCTGCATTTTCCTTAGGAGTTGAGGTACGATCCCCTGAAACACGGTCTCCTAGTCAGGTTAGTCCAGTCGCCAGAGGAAAGTTCGCATTCTCTGAACCGAGCAAAGACAAGAACCTTGCTCCGAACGACACAAAGATCACAAGTGAAGGCAACTCGAACAGCATTGTGAAGGACAATGTCAACGTGCTCCTGGAAGTGTCCTCGATCGAAGAGAACGGTACCTGCGCACAACGTGCCTAGTACAAATACTCCCGCACTTGAGCGTTCCACGCCTAGTGCAGCGGCGTTATTTGGTATTCCAAGTGGACCTACCCAGAAGCAGATCGGTGCAAGAGCCGTACGTGATCGACAGTTACACGAGCTTCTGGAGGATCGCGGCATGTTGGGTAGAAATTCCACATCATCAGCCAGCTCTTCCAGACCTGTCAATCTTGACGGTGTAAGTGCATCGATAAAGGGGTTACGCCAGCTCCGGAGCCGAAGGCCAAGGCTAAGGCCAAGTCTGAAGCCAAAGCGGCAGCGAAGGCGCTTCCAGCAGCACCAACCATCAGACTTTGCCGAAGGTGGAATCCATCAGCGCCTGCTATTTGGAAGAGATCCTTAAGACAGCAAGATGAGGAGTCGGTGTGTTCATCCGTGGACAGCGACGCTGACTCGGATTGTTCCACTGATGATGAGGCACCGGGTACGTCGACTCGGAAGGCCACGAAGCACAAAGTGTCGTTCGCTGAGGACGTGGAGTTCGTATCTTCACGGCCGAGAAAATCGAGCAAAGAGAGGAAGCGAGAAGTCACGCCCGTTGATGTGAACGCGCTTGTGAACAACGAGGATCGCCCCGTTGACCTGGAATTCGCCAAACATATAAGGCAAGGTTGAGGGCGCAGATCATGAGAGACATGGTCGACGATGATCGTGATGGAGATCGAGTCTCGTTTGTGCGAATCCCAGGAACGTCTCGAGTAGAAGAGGTTTCCTTCTATGATGGAGAGGATTCCATTGTCGAACGTGAACTTGACGCTGCACACAGCAAGCGAATCATCGACAAAGGGATGTTCAAATGCATGGTTC